CCTCGCCCGCCCCGCCCGCCCTGTCCCGCGGAAAGTGGAAAGACCATGGCCATAGAGAGCAAGTTAAGTGGTCACTGCAGTGTCTTCTCCCTTCGAAAGATCCAACTGCTGCTGAGGTAGAAATCCAACGTGGGCGCCCCCTAATCCTCCTCGGCGGACTCTTGTGAGGATGTCTCTTCAGTCTCCTCCTGGAACACATAAAGGACACGCGGGTCATAAGCGGACCTTAGGCTGCGCAGAGCTCCTGCAGGAGCGCAGAGGTGACCTGATCCACAGCAGGCTATGCTTGCCTCAGAAGAGGGCCACCGTGACTGCCCAGCCCTCATTCCCAGGGCTTCTTCCACCATAACTGAGGAATCAAGGTGTTGTTTTTTCCCAGAGCCCTAATTTGCCACTGTTGACTTTAGCCTTGATCCGGGAGGCTGGTCAGCAAATTCAGTTGTTTGCAGTCCGGAGGCTGTGAATCTAGAGACTTTCAGGCCAGTAGAGTGAAAAAGAAATGGGTAGATTTTTCCTGACAGCACGTCAGTTATCAGTTTTAAAATCTGGCACACAAGTACAAAAAAACAGTTAAGAGGATCTGTTTTTTGAGGAATAAACCCATTCTCCGGATACTGATCATAATGGCTGATATTATTAGAGTGCTTACTAGATGTTTTTGGTACTAGAGAAAAACGAAGGTGCAGATAAAGATTAGGCTCAAGTAGGGCCAGCTTTGGGCCAGGTCAGGACAAGGTGAGAATACACGCATGACTACTAAGCCCTATGCGGGAGGAGAAAGAGAGGACCAGTCAATTCAGAGAAAGAGCCAGGAGAATGAATTGCAGAGTTCCTTTCCAAAGCCATTTCCTCGCTCTTATATTTATTAAAGCACGTTTTGAGGAATGGCCAAAAGTTTGGCATAACTGTTCAATCCCAATACTAAATCCATCCAATTCAGCCAAATATTTAACGGTGGGCTAGCCAAGCAGAGAAAATCTAATATATATGTTTTTGCAGGGCCTCCTCTTCATATAAACCCAACTCCTCCTTCTCTTTTCCTTTTTCTGATTCCTTATGGCTCTGGAATTTGTTGGGGTTTCTGCAAGCCAGCCTGAGCTGCAAAGTTCCCTTTCCTTTTGCTTATTTAACAAGTGTGCTGTACCTTTCAGGACATGGGTGGTAAAGCGGAGACAATAAACATTTCTGATAAAAGTGTCGTTAGTGAGAGGATGATTTTTATCAAACGCTGCACATTGTCTGCTAAGATGGCATGTGAAAAAGATCTGGGAGAAGAGGTAAACATTTACTCCCACAGCAAACTGAGCCTCTTTAAGAATGGCCAGTTTAAAACAGCTTATAACAGCCTTCATACTTTAATAGATTTGATTTTCCACATGGCTTCATTTTGTCTGGGTGGCTAACTGACACAATTTATACCTCTCTTCCTTTCCCAGGTCACTACAGTACACCATTCAGTAAAGCAGGCCTTAGAGCTTGTCTGCATTATATGAGCAAACTTCCATTCATTAGTGTCTGAAACACTTCGGCTGTGAAGGGGCTCCTAAATGCTACCATGTGTGACGCTTTAACGTAAAAGCAGCAAATAGGAGGGAAACTGCCCCCACGAGCAGGCACTCACATGAATGTGCACACACACATGCACATGCTCACACAGATGCTAGCCTGGGCTTTAATCACAGGCCAATGCTTACTGCAAACCTTTTGCAAAAGGTTTCAAACATTCTCCCCCAAAGACCGCGAGAGCTGTAAATCCTGGGAATAAACACACATACAAATGAATGGATTACAGCTTAAAAAATATAACCACAGCAGCATCAAGTCATGAGATTTCACACTGGTTTTGTTTAGTCTGCTTTGGGTTTTGTGGGAAATGTGGAAAGTATGAAGCTACCTCCCCTTTCCTTCCAGCCCCCAAATGTGGGCTTCACATATTTAAGCAGTAGGTTTATACCTTTTGATGAGGCAACAGGCCGTGACCCTGAGATTCTCTGCGGAGTCCTGGTCACAAAGGAGGATGTAGCATGATCAAAGCCATGGACAGACGAAAGAGAGACAAGCCAAGGTTCAGCTGCCCTATGACCTTGTCTTTTCACTTAATATTTAAATTCCAGAAAGTCACTAAGCTATTCGGCAGATATACTCCTTGTGTGCTCCCAAAGGACTCACTTCTCATTATGACATGAGGTGTGGACTTACGTTACTGCTCTGAGACAGACCACAGCAGAGAAGCTGGCAGGTATATTTTATTCTGCTTTCTCACAGTTAACAAATTAATAGGACCCAGTCAAGCTGGAAAACCTTCTGGACCAACTTGTGATTATTCTATCTCTAAGTGCTTGATTTTCCTCTACTATCTGAAAACCAATGTACTTCGAAATTTGGGAGGAAACAGAGTTTTCAGTCTGTGAACTTACAAAGACCTTGTACTAAATGGAATGTGATCAGCTTTTCAAAACATTCCCAGACACTTTGCCTGATTTGAGCCCCTGAAACTCCTGATAGTCAAACCTCTGAGACACAATTTAGGCGAAAATTGTCCTTGTATTATTTCCTTTACTTAATAGTTCTTAACACAACATGGGAAGCTGTTTTATTTATGTATCTTTCCTTTGACCTTGAAGTTCTTCTGCTAGTATCTGTCAGTTAGTAGTGGGAGCACAACTAGGAGGTCAAGGTGGGAAGCCTCACTCCTTTAAACCTCTGGCAGCAAGGTGGGCTTTCATATGCTCATCTCTACAGTTTTCTTAGGTGTCAAGTTAGAGGACAGTTCTTTCTCCTTGGCGTAGCCTTCCCTTGGAAGGAAGGCATAGTTGCAGCAATAATGCTGCTTCTCTCCTTTGCAAACCTCAAGTCTCACTTGTCCAGGGACCTTGTCTTTTGTGATATGGGCAGTGAAAAATTCTCTCTACTGGGAACAGGGTGAAGAAGTTGGAATACCCCTCACTCAGCTGTCCTACATGTCACAGTCTGGCTAGACTTCACACAGGATGCTTCTGTAGTGTCAATAGTGGGCTTAAACAAGGGATATAGGGAATAAGCATGTCACTCTGATATCTGAAAATAATCTTATTTCCTCACCAGAGTAGTTGGTAGGGAACCTTTAGCTTCCACCTTTTGATCCTCTTTAGTAACTTAGAAGACATGGACAACAGCTTGCCCTCCAGCTGTTTTTTTTTTTTTTAAAGAACTGTTTTATATTTGCAAAATTCTGCCAAGACTTGAGTGCCAGTAGCTCTTCAACTGTGGCCTTGAAGTATTAAGGAGGCTGAAATACTTTGGCCAAGAGTTGCACACATCTACTTAGGAGCTAGTTGATGGAGTGGGAAAGCCAAATGGCAGCTCTCTGGTCAAGAAGGCTTACCTTTAGGAATGTCACAATAAAAGGACTTTGCAGAGTGGAAGAACGCAGTGACATTTTTATGAGCACAAGCCACTAAAACCTCTAAACACTGAGCAGCTCCTAGCCATTCATGCAGTTACTTTACCAAGACAACTGAAGCTGTAGCACACTAGGGGTGAAACCTGTGTGAATTTTTGGCAGAAAACTGATGAGATGGGGAAGGTAAAGAGTAAAATTGGAGAGCTATATTTTTATTATAACTCTTGCAAAATTGACCTCATTTTGCTTTAGTTTTTCTTGTTTGTGAAAAAAAGAGATTGGATAAATGTAACTCTTTCATTGCTTTGACTAAGCTTGAAAACAAAAACTTCACTGAAACACAGAAATATAGTTTGCACATATTGCTATTCTTTCTAGTTGGTTTAGCACAATGGATGTGTTACATATCTTTGGGTGCATTTTAGTTAAGTGATTAAAAAAGGAGAAAGAAGGCAGCCTGGTACCCATCCTTAATTCCTAGTGCTTGATGGACTCTTCAAATGTCTTGAGTTTCATTGTGGGTCTTACTACACAGGCATGATGAGAGTGTACAATGGAAGGAAGTTCAACATTTAAGACTGAGAGCTGAGGCTTTGGGTTTAATTTTCAGATGCAGACTAAACAGCAGGTCTATAGTGAAAAAGAGGCCAGTAAATTCTAAATGGAACCAGGAAGTGGAAATGCTTTTCCTACAAATCAAGAGTTTTTGTCACCATAAATGCCCCTCTTCTGTGTGTATGTGTGTGTGTGTGTAAGGAATGCAAAAATCACAGAGGTTCATGTTGGTTTTAGTACATCCTTGTGTTCTTTTAATTGAACAGGATTCTGCAACTTTTTAAAATCATAGGATGCTTCAGGCTAAAAATACATTTTAAAATTTAAACTATTTTGCCAATAAACCTACAAATGCCTAGTAATTAAGAATGGGCAGTTAAAGATGAATGATTTTATTTTGATTATCTTAATAAATTCAGATTTTTAGGTCTTAGAAGGACATACTTACAAGTTTATTGGGTTAGTGAATATCTCAAATCAGTCCTGTCAGAACAGAAATAAAGAGCTCCTCTTTTCAGCAGGAGTGACCAGAAACCAATCTGTCAAGTTCCATCTGCAGCTAAGAGACCCACAAGACTTTAAAGCCATGATTTTCTATTTTTCTGTCCCATATTTTAATTTAAAATGGATTGGGGCTGTTTAACTTCATGGAAAGTGATTATTTCCTCCAACTAGGAAAACTTTACAGCAGATTTAAAAAACATGCTGAATGGAGCATATATAAACCATATAATCTGACAAGTACAAGGGATTTTAATAGAAATGCTAGGGGGGAAATAAGTTTTTCAAAAGGATACTTGAGAATTTGGGATATGTGCAGCATTTGTTCTAATCTTTTCTTCCTCTTAGCTATATGTACATAACACTAAACAGGCTACAGGACTACTTCGCTTATGTTACCATCCACTTACTAAGGTTGGTCTTAAGGCCTTAAAGGGGCATGTTTCACATAAAGAAGGTGTATCTTGGATGTCGCTAACTGCAGGTGCCAACTGTGGCACCAAGGCTTTATATAACCAGTGTCTATTCCCACCCTTTCACGCCAGTAATAATTGTCCATCTAGCTTCACTGCACGTTTGTGTGAGAAAGTATGTAACAATCACATAGGAGAACTTAAAAAATGAGTAAAAATTCCCTAAGACTAGTGTGAAATAGTGATTATTAGTTTTTTGTTTTTTTGTTTTTGTACCAGGGAACAAACTCAGGACCTTGCGCTTGCGAGGCTGGTGGTGGCACCACTGAGCTAAATC